GACATCTCAAAGAAACAGCTTTTACAGATATTGGGAGTAACAGCAGTCAGAAATAATAATGCTGGATTTGGTCATGATATAAAAGAAAAATACAGGTCATTAAGTTTAGATAGGCAGAAATAAGCAAGTTGGTTGCTATGTCCTTTAAGCTACAAAAAGACATCACTCATCTGTTATGGCATTTACAGACCATACAGCAGTTTATTTGTCATGCCCACTTAGACAATTGTTCAAGGACAGAGATGTTGTTTGATGCATTTTTCTACTGCTAATCTCTAGAAAGAGTCTCGCGCACAGAACAGAATATTTTCTGAAGGCAAGGTAAGGACAGAGTTCCCTATTTAAATTCTTGCATTTGTGCAGGTCATTTATTCACTGCCTCGCAACTCTAAAATAGCCTTCTAGACCTTGCTCTACGGTGCTGGGGTTGAGCCTAAGCAACTCTTTATTACTGACTCCTGTGCCTGTAAGGGTCACTCTTGTTTTTTTGGTACTGGGAATTGAACTCATGCCCTCAGGCTTGCCAGGCAAGCGCTTATGCCGCTGAGTTATATCCCCGGCCCTAGGGTCACTGTTAGATTTGCCAACAGGGGTAGCACGTTAAGACTTCAAAATAGGAAGACGGGACTTTCTCTCAGTTCCTGTCAGTACTGACTGCACTCCTGGTCCTAGCAGCAATTGGTCCTAGTCTAGCAGCAACTGGTCATAGTCTCCAGCAATTGGTCCTAGTCTCCTAGTCTCCACATTACTGTATCACAAGCCTTCATTTTTACTCACAGCTGAACACTGCTGACCTCCTCAAAGGTCTTACAACTTGTTCTCTGAGTTCTTGAGTTCTGATTACCAAAATGTTTCCTGTTTTCTCTACCGAGCTAATACATTACTGAACAGAATGACCCCCAACTGCTCTGCTATACTGGTTCCTACTGAGATAGCAGCTGGTGCTTTCTAAGAGAGAATCAAAATCTGGGTGTTTTTTTTTTTAGACATAAAGTCCACTTTACAAAGGTTAACATGAAACTCTAAATGTGCTTCTGTTAAGAGTTTTTTTTTTTGTACTGGGAATCAAACTCAGGACCTTGCACTTGCCAGGCAAGTGCTGTGCCACTGAGCTATATCCCCGGCCTTCTGTTATACTGAAGCACAAAAGCCACTTAAGTTTTGTACTTACGCTATCCAGCTTCGGAAAGAAAAAAAAACAGGAGAAAATGAGAAATACTTTAAATAGCGCAGCCTAGTCCAAGCATATCCATCCACCTTTTACTACAGCACATATTCTAGGATCACGTGAGATGGTAGAGTTCACCTCCTATTTCCGTGTTCTCAGTCCCCATGTGCCTTTCACAGTGCAGGGTGAGACCATGCTGAATGTGATTCTAATACTTAAAGACTTTTTTGCTGTTGTTCAACATGATCCCTAACTAGTACTTAAGGAACAGAAAAACAGCATTCTGTACCAACACTAAAGCTAAGGGGCTGGTATGCTGTTCTGCCTTCCTAAAATATTTTTAAGCATAGTTCTTTGGGATTTGGTGGATAGGGGGCTACGGACTGAAATCCAGGACCTAGCACATGCTAAGCACAAGCTCTGCAAGTGAACTACAACCCCAGCCTCAAGCATAATTTTACACGGTATGATTTCTACTTTACATATTGATTTTTAATGTAATTTCTTTATAAAATATAACTTCTATTTAATAGATTTTTAAAAAGCCAGGTGTGGTGGTACATACCAGTAATCCCATCACTTAGGAGGCTGAGGCAGGAGGACTGCCATGAGTTACAGATCAGCTTGGCCTACAGCTAGTTCAAAGCCAGCCTAGAATACAGAGGTTCAACATCATGTCTCAAAAAAACCAAAAACACTGGGCGGGCACTTGTGGGAGGCTGAGGTAGGATGACTGCTCCAAGTTCCAGGCCAGCCTGGGCTACGCAGTGGGTTCAAAGCCAGCCTAAAGGGCATAGTGAAACCCTATCTCAGAAAAAGAGGGGGCAGGGAGAGAGGGGAAGGTAGGCAGGCCCCCAGGATACTCCATAAAATAATACATTTGTGGAAAACATAACAAAAATGCTTGGGGGTTTTTTCATTTGGCTTGTATGTTACTTAATAGTATGTCTTCTCTAGATAATATAACCTGTGGTCTATTTTTAAAATAAGTCTTCACTACTATACTTAGAGATACCTACTTTCAAATGGCAGACATGGAAAGCAGCAAAATATGCTAAATCACTCTCAAAATGAAATGGTAGAGCCAGGTGTGGTGGCACAAGCAGCACCTGAAGCCAAGACAGGAGAATACAATTCAAGCCCAGCCTAAAAAATAAAGTCTTTAAACAGGGCTGGGGCCAGGCACGGAGGTGCACACCTGTAATTCCAGCACTAAGGAGGCTGAGGCAGGAGCATCTCCTGGAGTTCAAAGCCACCTGGGGCTATATAGTGGGTTCAAGGACACCCTGAACTACACAATGAGACCTTGTCTCAAACAAACAAACAAAAAAAAGCACTGGGGATATAGATCAGTGTGAAGACCCTGGTTTGAATCCCTGCTAAGGGGAGGGGAGGGGAAAGGTGGGGAAGAAAGGGGAGCGAGAGGCAAATTTTAACAGGAATCTTTCACAGTATTTTTAATAACATATATAGCTGCTGAACATATAACAAGATGTAGCAGTAGTAGTGATCCCCTTTAATTACCAAATACCCATAAGGCAAAAGAGAATCATGAACCAGTCCAAATCTGATGGAGTTCCTCCATATACCCTAAAAATGAATAAATGGGGTCACCTACCCTCTTAGTACCTACAATTAGAGACATATCACCTAGCTCCTGCCTATGACAGAAATAATTCCTAAATGCCAAATGCCCCGTACCACAGTCAGATCACCTATGTAATAAAACCAATCTTTCATTTCCACACCAAGGAATACCCAAAAACCCAGTAGACACATTAGGGAGAAAGTGTAGCAACTAGAAGGGGAAAGACAAGACACCTAGGCCTTCGGGAAATGGACTGGATGTTGCTGTACTTTTGCACCCCAATCTATACCTACCCAGTTAAATACAGTCAATATAAATTAGTATAACAGCTAAAATTACAGAGAATGAAATCAAGAAATAATGGTATCTGATGACAGTATCTTTCACAGGGTATGTAATAATCAACACCAGGATCCATTGTAGAGCCCAGCATGGTTACACAAGCCTATAATCCCACTACTTTGGGAAGCTGAGGCAGAAGGATCACATATTCAAGCCTAGTTCTGGCCATCTAGCAAGATCCTACCTCAAAGGTGGGGAAGGGTGGGTAGGTAAGTGCGAAGGTAGTGGGTTCAATCTCCAGTATCACACACACACAAATAAAAAGAATCAAGTTTAGATTTGTATGTGCGCAGAGTGTACACAATCTCACAAATATTTGTTCTTTTTTAAAAACTGCAAACTACAGCTGGGCATGCTGGGGTACACTTTAACCCAAACACTAGGGAGGGAGGTTGAGGCAGAAGGATGGGCACTGAGTTCCAGCCTGCACTCCATACTAAGACTCTATCTCACTAAAGCAAGCAACAAAAATGGCCAACTGTAATGACACATTTTAGTATCTTCAGAATTCAATGAATAACTTCAAAATTATAAGGGCTTTTTTAGTTACACTAGAAACACTGTTATAATTTTAATAAAGAGCATTTTAATGGTAACTCATTTCTCTTCCTGGAAGGAATTATGCTTCTTTGACAACATATAGAAATTACACTTTCACTGAAACACTTAGTTATGTATTACTAAGCACATATCAGCTTTATTCCAGAAACTGCATAATATAAACACAACTCATGAGCAAATAAGATTAGAGATAGACCTAACACCACAAACTGAAGGTCAGTAATAGACGAAATTCCAAGTATATTTGCTCACCAGCTCTATATTTCTGTCCACTCAAACCCGGAAGCTAGGTTTCTGAAGGCCCCATACAGTGGATAAAAACTCAAAATTCCCCATATTTTAATGTCTGCATTGTCTACATTATGTTAACGATTCTTTTTTTTTTTTTTTTTTTTTTTTTTTGGTAGCAGGAATCGAACTCAAGACCTTGCGCTTGCCAGGCACGGGCTTGTGCCACTGAGCTGTATATCCTCGGCCCTAACAATTCCTTTTTTATGTTAACGATTCTAATTTGAAATTTTTTGTGCAACACACTGGAGAGTGATTATTTTTCAAAAACTCAACGAGCCTGACTTAAGCAATTTTCCTTCATAAATTCTCCATATAACTCTTCATCATAATTAATCTCAAACATAGATTCTTAAGGATACCTAAGGGAAATAACAAATCTTTAGGAAAAAAAGTTGGCGGCCACATTTGCTGTGCCACTCCTGGAAAAAGGAGTCTCACATTAACTATCCATTATTTCACTACAAAGTGGATCAAATGTACAATCAAGATTTTAGGATACCTGTTGATTGTGACAAGTAGAAATCTCAAAGGAAAAATATCCAAGAGCCATATCGCTTCCACTTAAATTCTTTACAAATCAAAGGATCAAATTTCACTTTAACAATCTAGATCTAACAGCAATCTAAATTATTAAAACATTCAACAACCTAATTCAAAGCAGATCACCTACCAATTACGCTAGGTATTCTAATGGACCATTGGAAATGCCACAAATAATGTAATGCAAATCACATATTCCTTGTAAATAAAACGCTGAGTTTAAAACACTAAAACCATGTCTCAATCTAATTTTCAAAAGAAAAAAAAACAGCACTATTACTAAACACTATGCATCTATCCTTTTCAAAGCAAACAAATTTCTTCACACACCTCAAAGAACCCTGACATTTCCAAACCATTTTACAGCGTAAAGACACAAATCCTCTGAAAGTTTTAAAAGCACGGCCCAAGATACGCAAAGGGCCGTCAAGGAAATCAATCTTAAATGAGTCACTGGTGGGCAAATAATCGGGAATAAACCTCAAAGTTTGAGAGATCAGTTTTACTAACAGCATCTTGGGGAGCAGGAAGGCGGCTTCGGGAGGAGGAAGACGATCCTGACGTGCAGGACGAGGGCTCCCCGGCGACACCGCGTACCGAAGACCTCAGTACATTAACCACAGGGTTCAAAACGCGAAGCTCGCAGCAGAAACAAACCAAGCACCCCCTCCCCCACCTCCTCCGGATCAGCCCCGGGCTCTGGAGAAGCAGCAGCAGATACCCCCGGGCAGGGGCGGCACTCCCAGCACGCGTGAGCCGGCGGGGCGTCCCCGCGGCCCGCAGGGAGCCGGGCTCCCGAGCTCCACCGCCCGCCCGACG